AGAGACGGAATGTGGCTTCCCTCTGTCTTTTCTACAAATATTTTCATGGCAATTGCTCTGACGAGTTATTTTCACTGGTACCCAAACTTCATGAATTTAAGCGTGCTACTAGGTTGGCGTCTCGGTCCAACAATTTTACTGTCGAAACAGTTAAATGTAACCGCCTCTTCTACTCCAACAGCTTCTTATCAAGCACTTCCTGACAGTGGAACTCCCTTCCTTTTACTTGCTTCCCTGATAGCTATCATCTTCAAATATTCAAATGTAATGTCAATCGACATATTCTGATGCCTTGACCTTGATCCCTGTCCTTCTCTTTATCCTTTCCTCAAACACCTCCCTTTACTCTTGCTCTCACTCTCTGTAACCCCCTTGCGTGCTAGTGGCACTCCCGCCTTCATTGGGGTGAAATGCTTAGAAAAAATTGTGAGCAACGACGAAGTTTTAGAGAAAATACAAACAAAAAGGAAATATCAGGAAGAAGCGGTTGAAATTTCTGGGTCACATAATGAGGAAGGAGGGCTTAGAAAATCTGATACACACAGGGCAGATTGAAGGTAAAAGAGACAGCAGAAAACAACGGTTATCATACTTAATGAAGAATAATCGAATGGTGGGACAGGATTTAGGAAAAATAATAAATAAACAAAATTTATTCGTCTTCAAAAATTTAAATGCAGCATCAATCGCCATCTTCTTCCATCTTAAATCCCGTTGACCTTTTGTCCTTTCCTCAGTCCTCCAAATTCTCAACATTGTATTTGTCATACCCGAACGTACCTATTCTATTATTAATAGACTCTCCCACACATAATAAGTAGTAGTAGCGGTCGCCGGTGGCGTCCCGCGGTCTTTGACTGCGCACGCCTCCTGTCGGCGTCCGAAGGGCAAGGTTTCGTCCGGGGGAGGTAGACAGGGCCGAACCCGTCTAATCGGCTTCGCTATTTTTTGGCCGAGCCTACGGGCTTCGGGAAAACCCACATAAAAACCGGCCTTGTGCCATATTCTTTTCCGTGGGTGAGAAGATAAATACTCAGTGGCGTCCCGCGGTCTTTGACTGCACACGCCTTCCTGTCGAACTCTGCGTTAGAAGAGGAACCCGGACGAAGCTTGCCGAAGGGCAAGGTTTCGTCCGGGAGGTAGACAGGGCCTGAAACCCGTCTAATCGGCTTCAAAAGGCTATTTTTTGGCCGAGCCTACGGGCTCGGGAAAACCCACATAAAAACCGGCCTTGTGCCATATTCTTTCCGTGGGTGAGAAGATAAATACTCAGTGGCGTCCCGCGGTCTTTGACTGCACACGCCTCCTGTCGAACTTCTGCGTAAGCGAGAGGAACCCGGACGAGGCTTTGCCGAAGGGCAAGGTTTCGTCCGGGAGGTGGACAGGGCCTGAACCCGTTTAATCGGCTTCAAAAGGCTATTTTTTTGGCCGAGCCTACGGGGAAAACCCCACAAAAAACCGGCCTTGTGCCATATTCTTTCCGTGGGTGAGAAGATAGATACCAGTGGCGTCCCGCGGTCTTTGACTGCGCACGCCTCCTGTCGAACTCTCTGCGTTAGCGCAGAGAGGAACCTGGACGAAGCTTTGCCGAAGGGCAAGGTTTCGTCCGGGGAGGTGGATAGGGCCTGAAACCCGTTTAATCGGCTTCAATAGGCTATATTTTGGCCGAGCCTATCGGGAAACCCACAAAAAACCGGCCTTGTGCCATATTCTTTTCCGTGGGTGAGAAGATAAATACTCAGTGGCGTCCTGCGGTCTTTGATCGCGCACGCCTCCTGTCGAACTCTGCGCCTCCTGACGAAGCTTTGCCGAAGGGCAAGGTTTCGTCCGGGGTAGAAGGGCCTGAACCCGTATAATCGGCTTTCAAAAGGCTATTTTTTTGGCCGAGCCTATGGGGAACGGGAAAACCCACATAAAAACCGGCCTTGGGCCATATTCTTTCCGTGGGTGAGAAGATAAATACCAGTGGCGTCCCACGGTCTTTTGCACACGCCTCCTGTCGAACTCTCTGCATTAGAGAGGGACGAGGCTTTGCCGAAGGGCAAGGTTTCGTCCGGGGGAGGTAGACAGGGCCTGAACCCGTTTAATCGGCTTCAAAAAGGCTATATTTTGGGCCGAGCCTACGGGCTCGGGAAAACCCACATAAAAACCGGCCTTGTGCCATATTCTTTCCGTGTGGTGAGAAGATAGATACTCAGTGGCGTCCCGCGGTCTTTGACTGCGCACGCCTCCTGTCGAACTCTCTGCGTTAGAGAGAGGAACCCGGACGAAGCTTTGCCGAAGGGCAAGGTTTCGTCCGGGAGGTGGAAGGCCTGAAACCCGTTTAATCGGTTTTTTTTTGGCCGAGCTGGGCTGGGAAAACCACACAAAAACCGGCCTTGTGCCATATTCTTTCCGTGGGTGAGAAGATAAATATCAGTGGCGTCCCGCGGTCTTTGACTGCGCACGCCTTCCTGTCGAACTCTCTGCGTTAGTTAGAGGAACCCGGACGAAGCTTTGCCGAAGGGCAAGGTTTCGTCCGGGGGAGGTAGATATGGCCTGAACCCGTATAATCGGCTTTAAAAAGGCTATTTTTTTTTGGCCGAGCCTACGGATGGAAAACCCCACATAAAAAACCGGCCTTGTGCCATATTCTTTTCCGTGGGTGAGAAGATAAAACTCAGTGGCGTCCCGCGGTCTTTGACTGCACACGTCCTGTCGAACTCTCTGCATTATAAGAGAGGAACCCGGACGCCTGAAGGGCAAGGTTTCGTCCGGGAGGTAGACAGGGCCGAACCCGTTTAATCGGCTTCAAAGAATATTTTTGGCCGAGCCTTCCGGGAAAACCCACATAAAAACCGGCCTTGTGCCATATTCTTTCCGTGGGTGAGAAGATAAATACTCAGTGGCGTCCCGCGGTCTTTGACTGCACACGCCTCCTGTCGAACTCTGCATTAGCAGAGAGGAACCCGGACGAGGCTTTGCCGAAGGGCAAGGTTTCGTCCGGGAGGTAGACAGGGCCTGAACCCGTTTAATCGGCTTCAAAAGGCTATATTTTTGGCCGAGCCTACGGGCTCAGGAAAACCCACATAAAAACCGGCCTTGTGCCATATTCTTTTCCGTGGGTGAGAAGATAAATACTCAGTGGCGTCCCGCGGTCTTTTGACTGCACACGCCTCCTGTCGAATCTGCATTAGCAGAGAGGAACCCGGACGAGGCTTTGCCGAAGGGCAAGGTTTCGTCCGGGGAGGTAGACAGGGCCTGAACCCGTTTAATCGGCTTCAAAGGCGATATTTTTGGCCGAGCCTACGGTTTCGGGAAAACCCACATAAAAACCGGCCTTGTGCCATATTCTTTTCCGTGGGTGAGAAGATAAATACTCAGTGGCGTCTCGCGGTCTTTGGCACACGCCTTCCTGTCAAACTCTCTGCGTAAGAGAGGAACCTGGACGAGGCTTTGCCGAAGGGCAAGGTTTCGTCGGGGAGGTAGGCAGGCCTGAACCCGTCTAATCGGCTTCAAAGGCTATTTTTTTTTTGGCCGAGCCTACGGGCTCGGAGAAACCCCAATAAAACCGGCCTTGTGCCATATTCGTTTCCGTGGGTGAAATGATAAATACCGAATGGTGTTGAGCGGTCTCTGACTGCGCACGCCTTCTGTCGAACTCTCTTCGTTAGCAGAGAGGAACCCGGACGAGGCTTTGCCGAAGGGCAAGGTTTCGTCCGGGGAGGTAGACAGGGCCTGAACCCGTCTAGGCGGGTTCAAAGGCTATATTTTTGGCCGAGCCTACGGGCTCGGGGATACCCACATTAAAACCGGCCTTGTGCCATATTCTGTCCTCGTGGGTGGAACGATAAATACTCAGTGGTGTTGAGCGAGTCAGTCGATATCGGACATTGAAGTATCAACCATCACAACTAGATTGCTGCGTCATTAACTCTTATTTCAAGTTCCTAACGTTTTGTACGTCGGACCCTTATAGGTCCGACTTAGCGAAATACAAGCCTCCACTGTGAAAACTACTCTACAACAGTATTTCACTTTCACTCCCTGAGCACTAGTTGCATTCCCACTTTGCTTGAGAAGAAAAGATTTTAAAAAGAGTTATAAAGCACGGGAAGTTGTGGAGAGCCGTGATCGCACACGACTCATAGAGAAGAGTATTTGCGTGTTACCTACTAATATTTTTCCTTTTTTGATGGTTATATTTTCGTTGTTCATTGTATGCTGGGCGATGTGTGGACGGATTGCACTGAGATTTGTCAGGTGACAGGTCAATCTGCGAGAGAGTGTGATGCATGTGTGTCCAATGTAATAAAAATATAATAAAAAATTATCGGTTTGGGCTAAAGAAAAATGAGTTATTTATTTAATATAATTCTTGGATTTGTGAGATGACCTCTCTCCAACAACTCATCATAAATAACTTTTTAGTAAAAAAACAAACGAAACCTCTTAAAATATTCAGTGTCTCTGACGTTGGCATAAACTTTGGTAGGTTTAAATATTTGGACGCATTGACCTTGCTTCTCAGAATCACAAATTCGGTAAGCAAGTTCGCCATAAGAGATGTTAAAATCGTGTGAAAACTACAAATTCTTAAATTTATTTCTTGGGATGGCCGAGTTGCATTGACTCCGGAAAACTATAGTTCAGGCGAACCGGGCTTTAAATCTTCCACTGATCGTGTACTAAAAGATGCTGGGTAGGGTTTGCCATTAAACGTTGTATAATGGAATCTATGGCGTTTTACACACACAGTAACCCCCCTCCCCATGCTTCTTAGTGGGTTTCTTGTCTTGCTTTGAAAGAAATAATTAAAAAAATCTATTTCAATCTTTTTCTTTCTTTCTTTCTATCTATCTTTCTATCTCCTTTCTTTCTTTCTTTCTTTCTTTCTTTCTATCTATCTATCTATCTATCTCATTCTTTCTTTCTTTCTCAGTCTTTTTCTTGCATTCATTTATATATATATATATGATTTTTTCTTTCTTTCTTTCTTTCTTTCTTTCTTTCTTTTTAAGTATCTATCTATCTCTTTCTTTCTTTCTCTCTTTCTTTTTTCTCATTCTTTCTTTCTATCTATTTCAGTCTTTTACTTTCTTTCTTATCTATCTTATTCTAATTCTTTATTTGTTTATGTCTTTCTTTCTTTTCTATCTATCTAGCTTACTTTTTTCTTTCTTTCTCTCTTTTTTCTTTCTTTCTTTTTTATCTATCTATATATCTATCTATCTCTTTCCCTTTATATAACTTTCTATCTATCTGTCTATCTATCTATCTTACTCTTTTTCTTTCTTTCTTTTCTCTATCTATCTATCTATCTATCTATCTATCTATCTATCTATCTATCTATCTCATTCTTTTTCTTTCTTTCTTTTCTATCTCTCTATATATCTATCTCTTTCTCTCTCTCTCTCTATCTATCTATCTATCTATCTCAGTGTTTCTTTTTTCTTTCTTTCTTTTCTGTCAAGCTATCTAGATAGCTGTCATTCTTTTATTTCTTTATCTATCAACCTATCTGTCAAGAGTTCAGACATGTTAATCTCGAATTTGTGACTAATTACATTTTTTTCTTTTCTTCTTTTTGCCTCCTTCAAAACAATCATTTGTGAAGGAGAAAAACTCTACTTGATATTTGCAAATAATGGGAATGAAAATTTGATTAGCCTCTCCCTAAAATACCGACGTTTCATATCCTTTCCTTTCTTGTATCCCGTTTAAACAATAATTAGCAATGTTCTTTTCTCCATTTCGATATTTTCCCTTGCTTTTTTAATCTTTTTCTTTTATTTCATTTCCTTAATCCCTCCCTCCCGTCCTTCCTCCCTCACTTCCTTCCTTCCTTCCTTCCTTCCTTCCTTCCTTCCTTCCTTCCTTCCTTCCTTCCTTTCCTTTCCTTCCTTCCTTTCCTTCTTTCCTTCCTTCCTTCCTTCCTTTCCTTCCTTCCTTCCTTCCTTTCCTTCTTTCCTTCCTTCCTTCCTTCCTCACTTCCTTCCTTCTTTTTCGTCATCATTCTTCTTTCTTTTATACTTTTTTCTTAACTTAATTATGCTATTTCTTTCTTTCTTTCTTTCTTTCTTTCTTTCTTTCTCATATTCTTTTTCTTAATTGAATTAATCATCTTCCTTCCTTCTTTTCTTCCTTCCTTTCTTCACTTCGTCCTTTTTATACTGTTTCCGTACTGAAATTCTTTCTTTCTTTCTTTCTTTCTTTCTTTCTTTCTAAGTCCGCTTTCTTTTTTTCTGACTCTCATTCATACATTTCGAATCGGACACGCATTCTTCCTTCTTTTCTTTCTTTCTTTTTTTTACTTCTTTCTTTCTTTCTTTCTTTTACTTATATCTTTCTTTCTTTTATGCCTTTTTTCTTAATTAAATTATGATCTATCTTTCTTTCCAGCAGTCACTTTAGTCATAACGTCGAAAGAACCATTTTTTTAATGCCATCCTCTTAGTCTTTCTTTAGGATTAGAAGCAATCATTTTTTACCTGTAGAAAAACAACAATGCCTATCTCGAGAGGTTCCTTAATTTTTGAGCGCATGTGATGACCCACTTGCGGGGGTTTGTCGGGATCGGATTATACCGGAACGTTAACACACATAAATACACCCACCACCCTATTTGCTGTGTAAAACTGTATTACACCTGGTTAGTAATTAGGATGAAACGAAGCCTGTTCAGCCAGGTGCAAAATAGAACTCATCAACGTGAGCGGGTGGGGAAACATGGCGCGGAAATGATGACGTATCGCTTCCTTTGTGCTAACGGCCAATGACTTGTTGTCGTTGCAAATAGGGCAGAATACTTAAGGAAATGAATCGGGTGTGGGTGTCGCGAAGAACAAGGAGAAAATAATGATAAGGTGGGAGAAGATTTGAGAGGAAAATAGATTAAAGTGAAAGAAAACTAGAAGAAAAAGAAGAAGAAAAGAAGGAAGGAAGAAAAATGAAAGAAGAAAAAAGAAGGAGGAGAGGAAGAAGAAGGAATAAAGAATTAGGGAAATAAGAAAAGAATGAAAAAGAAAAAAACAAAAGAAGTAAAAACAGAAAGGGGAAAAGAAAAGAAGTAGAGAAAGGCGAAAATATAAAATAAATAAAGTGTAAAGAAAGAAGAAAAAGAAAGTAAGTAAAAAAGTAGCAAAGGAAGAAGAAAAGAGGTTTTGGAAGAAGTAAGGTAAGTAATCTAATTGTTTTAGAAGAAGAAGAAGAAGAAGAAGAAGAAGAAGAAGAAGAAGAAGAAGAAGAAGAAGAAGAAGAAGAAGAAAATGAGGGGAAAAAAGAAACAAGGTAAAAAGAAAGAGAAAAAGAACAAAAGGAAAAGAAGAAGAAAGTAAGCAAGAAGATAAAGATGAAGAGAAGAAGGAAAGAGGAAAAAAGAACGAAAGAAGAAGTAAAGAAGAAGAAAAGTCAGGAAAGAAGAAGAAGAAAAAAAAGAAGGAAACAAGAAGGGAATAGATGAAGAAAAGAAGAAGTATGAAAGAATAAAAGGAAGGAAAGAAGAAGAAGAAGAAAAGAAGGAAAGAAGAAAGAAAAAAAGAAGAACAGAAGAAGAAGGAAAGAAAAAGAAGGAAAGATGAAGAAGAAAAAGAAGGAGAGCGTACTACTTCTTAACCCTTCCTTTGCTGAAAAGAAAAGGAAAAAATGAGATAAAAAGGAAGAATAAACGAAGAAGAAATATAAAAATTAAAGAGGGGCAGAGGGGAAATAGTATAGAAAGAAGAAAAGAATAAGAGAGAAATAACATCGGAAAAGTAAAGGACGAAGAAAATAAATAGAGAAAGAAGAAATAAAAAGAAAGAGATATTGGATGAAGAATGCGAATTAAAGAAGAAAAAGAAGGTTGAAAAAGAAAGAAAAGAAAAAAATAAGCGAAAGTAAAAGAAGAAGTAAAAGAAGAAAAAGTAATTAGAGAAGAGAAGAAAGTAAGAAAAAGAAAGAAGAAAAAAGAATCATTGAACCTAAAAAGAGAGCGAAAGAAGAAGAAAAATGGAAATCGGAAAAGAAAGAAGTAAAAGAAGGAAAGAGAGAATAAAATGAAATGAAGAAGAAGTAGAATGAGAAGAGAAAAAGGGAATAATAAAAGAAAACAGACAGTGAGCAATAAATGAAGAACGGCTAAAAATAAACAAACAAGTTTCGTTGGACTTAATCTCGGGTAGAGACGATTCTACTTCGGGAAGATTCGGTTACAATCGAGTTCTTTCGTAGCCGTTACCGATCTCAGTATGTTAATCACCACAAAAACACATGGGACATAGAATCTAGTCACGAAGTTATAAGACAATTTCAAAAAATCATTACGAAGGTGACAAGCAACTAAATTTTACTGCATATAAATATGCTATTATTCGAATTCTTTTAACATTATTAACAGATTTATTAAAGTTATGTTTTTTTTTATGTTTCAGACAGCAATTAATGTTGTTTCTACGTTTCAGATATAGTCAGATATTCAATATCGCTTAGCTTTCCTTCGTGCAATAAATGGGACCCATATAGATATTTGTTAACCATCTCATCACAGATTTGACTTTTAAAAATGGCAGTCTGATCAGTAAAGAACTAGATTCACTGAAAACGTCATGTCGGAGGAGAGCGCTAATCTCGCAGTCCTCAAAAGTAAAGACCGGAGCCATACGCTATATCACCGATTATCGCAAAGAAAATAGTAGCACGTTGCGGTATACGAGCTGGTAGAGTCGGCTGATTTAAAAACCCACAGACCCCAACGTCTCAGTATATATCTGTGCATATGAGTCTCCCGCCCCCTCTCTCTCCCTCCTCTCCCCCTCTCTCTCTATATATATATATATATATATATATATTTCTGAGATGAAGTATTATGTATACTATTTACATTATTCGGACTATTGTCTTCATCTTTGTTGCCACATTTATCACAGTGCTTCGGCCGTTGTACGCTCCGGCCTTTTTCAGCTGGTTGGAATGTCCAACTGAGCCCTTTATTTCGCTCGCTGGGGTAGACTGTTCTAGTTCCACTGTCCTTACGAACACATGGCACAGTGGATAAAGGCGTTGGATAGATCCTGTGACAGGACCCAGAGAGTTGTGAGTTCGATACCTGTTTAAGGCAGTAGAGAACTTGGAGAGGGGAATTAATAGGAGATAACTGATAACTGACATCCATTAGACATAGCACGTGGAACTAATATATATATATATATATATATATATATGATTAGTGTATATAAATATAAATAAATGTATAATTATTTATATATTATATGCGCGGTACTTATTAGAAAGCGCTCAATATCAGAGATAGAGCTAACATATTTGGTTGGATTGATGTGAGTTTGTGACCCTGGGTTTACGCTTTAAATCGTCAGACAAACTGATTAATTTTTAAACAAAACATTTGGGTTTTTGGGGAAAATTTCGTCGCTTACGTTGCGTTAGTACGATGACATAAGTGACGAAATTTCCCGTCACTTACAATAACGCCAATACACGCAACCACATAAACCCAAATGTTTTAAAAAATTAATCAGTTTGTCTGACGATTACAAAGCGTGAAACCTAGGGTCTACATATATATATATATATATATATATATATATATATATATATATATATATATATATATATATATATATATATTATATATATATGTAAGCTATATTATATATATTTAGCTTAAAAGCCGATGTGTCAGGCGGCATTTAAGCTAACTCCTGTGGAGGAGTTTTGATTGCGTCTTCATCACAATATGTAGGGGAGGAGTAGATGCAATAGGCATCAATAAACTATAGAAGAATTCAAAATTGATCGATGCATTTAAGTATTGCATTAATATTAAGCTTACTTTTTAAAAGTTCAACGATAATTCTTCTGTCACCACGTAGTTTAAAGACACTTTGATGTACGTAGGTCCTTACTTTCCTTACAAACAATTATTTTTATTTCATGGGTGACTTTCACTGGATTTCGAAAATTTATTTCCAAGTTATAAAAATTGTTATCGTACAAAAAAAAGTTCGTCGCAAAAAATCACGTAAAAAACGTCGAAAACAATAGCAGTAATGAAAAGTTGGGAATCCAAAATTTCAGGATTGGGGGTCTGGATCCGAACCGGAATATTTTTAATTTGGTCACAAAGTCGGCTTGATTCCAAAATGGTATGATATGTTAGGCTACGGCTTCTAAGAGTAAAGTTGAAAAGACGTGACACACTGACATTCGCGTTTATTCTATTTGTCTAATGACTTTCAGGGCACCCTGTGCATAAGGACAGAAAGAAAGAAAGAAACAAATATATAGACGAAGATAGAAAGAGAGTAAATAGAGAAGGAAAGATCGGGAGAGAGACTGAAATAGTGGCAGATAGAAGGGAAAAAGAGAGGGGAAAGAATTGTGACAGGAAGAAAAAAAAAGAGTAAAGAGAAGGTAAGAGCATGAGATAGAGAATGAACGAGAGAGAGAAAGAGAGATAAAAGGAAAGGGAAAGAAAAAGAGAATAGGAGAGAGGGGGAAAGAGAGGGAGTGACGGAGAGAAGAAAGACCTGAAGACAGAGAAGGCATAGCGGTAGAAAGAAGGAAAGGTCGGGTGAAAGACCTGGTGTGTGTGTGTGTGTGTGTGTGTGTGTGTGTGTGAGAGAGAGAGAGAGAGAGAGAGAGGGGGAGAGAAAAAGAGAGAAAGAGGCAAAGAGAAAGAGCGGGTTAGCGAGAGAGAAAAAGCGAGAAAGAAAGGTAAAAGCGAGAAAGAGGGAAAGAGAGAAAGTAAGGGGAAAGTGCTGGAGAGAGAGTGAGATAGATTGAAAGAGTGGAAGTGAGAGAGAGAGAGAGAGAGACGGGGAAAAGGACAGAGAAACGAACTGTGATAGAGAGAATGAAAGTGTGTAGAGAGAAGGTAGGTAAGATCGGGTACAGAAGGAGAGACGAAAAGAACTACAGAGAAAGACAGAGGGAAAAGGAACAGGAAAAGAAGAGAGAGAGAGAGAGAGAGAGAGAGAGAGGGGGGGAATAGAGCGGGAAAAAGCAGTAAAAGAGAAAGAAGAAAAGTGCTGAAGGGAATTTACAGATTGATTCATGGGATAGGTAGGTCCGTATTTTCACAGAAAAGAATTAAATCAAGAGTAGGGGAAAAA